GCGGCCGCCGGGCCGCTCCAGCACACGGCGCCGGTGAACTTCTGCTGCGGCAGCACGAAGGTGTAGGTGCAGCGCGGGGCGCCCGCCCGCGCCCACAATGCGCCCAGTAGGAGCAGCAGCTGCAGCGCGCGCAGCCGGGGGGCCGACATGGCCGATCTGCGGGCAGAGAAGGAACGAGAAGGAGGTGGGAGCCGGGAGCCTAGACTCGGTCCCGACTCTCAGGCCGGGCCGGCCAGACCCATCTGCACCCGCGCGGGAAATGCTGCGTGGCTCGGGGTCCACACAGGCGGTGTCCATCTCCCTCCTTCCAGGGCCCCAAAGAGATCCCGTCCTGGCCCTTCCACCGAGTTCCAGGAGCCCTACGGGACAACGTGTCTATGCATTCATTTTACAAGCATTCATTGAGCGCCTTCTGTGTGCCAGCCTGTTCTAGGCGCTAGGAACAAGGTCGGGAACAAAACCCCAAAATCCCTGCCCCAGTGGGCAAGGAAAAAAATTAATAAGTATAGGATTGATAGAGTATATTAGACGGTGCTAAGTGCTAACAATAACAGAGGGAGGGTTAAGGGGATCTTTGCAGGGGCAGCTTGAGAGGAGGCGGGTGCGGACAGGATCTGAAGGAGGAAGCCATAGAGGTGTCTAGGCAGAAGCGTGTCCCAGGCAGAGGGAACAGCAAGTGCAGAGGTCCTGAGGCTGGACCACGCCTGATGTATTAAAAGAACCGCGGGGAGGCTGGAGCAAAAACAGGGAGAGTTGGGTGGGAAGAGGCAGGTGGGGTGAGGGCAGGTCTCACTAACAAAGTCTTCGCATCTCTCTAGTCTCCACGTCCTCAGACCAAAACCCCAGAATCACGGTGTCTCCTCCACAGCAGACCCAAGCCATCAGCCAGGCCTGTCAGTTCTGTTTAGACCCTGAATTCCTCCACATCCCTGCTTCCCTTTCCTCCACCCCCATTCCGAGCTCAAGACAGCATCTGGATTTCCTTCCAGCAGCTGCCTCCCTGGTCTCCAGTCTTCCGCCCTTTATGTCCGGCCCCCCACAGCAGCCGGTGGATGCCTCATTTTTTGGCCATTGTTTTTTTTTTGTTGTTGTTGTTTTGGTGGCTGGCTGGTATGGGGATCCCAAACCCTTGACCTTGGTATTATAACACTACCCTCTAACCACCTGTGCTAACTGGCCAGCCCTATTTGCTACTGTTTATTCCCCATCCAAATACCAGCTCCTTGAAGGGATGCAAAAATCAACTACGTTGTATATTGATAAATTTAAAAATAAAAAATAACAGCTCCCTGGCTGGCTGGTTAGCTCACTTGGTTAAACGCCAGTGCTAGTAACACCAAGGTCAAGGGTTCGGATCCCAGTACCGGCCAACCACCAAAAACAAACAAAAAAAACATATCAGCTCTCCAAGGCCAAGTCTGGGTTTTTGTTCAGTGCTCTGTCTCCAGCGCTTAAAACTGCCTAGCAACCCCCTCCCCCAAAACCACATGCCCCAGGGTCTGCTGCGCTGCTCCCCAGCTGTTGTGCAGGCTTGCACAGGTGAGCTCATACAAGCATCTTCACTTGAGGGTGTACTTGTATACTCGTGGCCGTGCAGGGTCCACACACAAAGACCCCCAATGCCTTCAATCCTGAGCACACCAGGGATTGCACACTCACAGCATCTCAGAATGTGCGTGCCTGTGTCCACACATCTCCCCCATCTGCGCCAAGTTCCACCACATTCAAACCCACACATACTGGTGGCCACACAGACACCTGCAGTCTTCATTAGCACACAACGCTGGCACATTCACTCGTTCAACAAACACTCCTTGAGTGCCTCTTGGGTGCCAAGGGCTGTTCCAGGCAATGGGGACACAGCCTTAACCAAAACAAAATCCCTGCCCTTGTGGAGTTGACATTCTAGTTGGGCAACAGTAAGTAAAACAGTCGATAGGTAGGTCAGAGCATGATCATGCTTAGGAGAAAATTAGGTAGGGAGGGGGGTGGGAGTCCTGGGATTGGGTTTAAATACAAGGGTCCCCCTGAAAGGTGACACTTGAGCAAACACCTGAAGAAGAGAGAAGGGGAGCATCCCAGGCAGAGGGAACAGCATGTGCATAGGCCCTGAGGTCGGACTTTGCTTTTGATGTGCCCAAGGAACAGCAGGGAGGCCTGTGAGGCTGGAACAGAGTGAGCGAGGGGAAGCAGGAGGAGGTAAGGCAGGGAGGTGACAAGGCAAAGTCCTTGAGGAGGCCGTGGGGGTGGTGTTTTACTCGAATCAGGAGGGAGCCATGGAGGGTTCTGAGCTGGAGAGGGACACATTGAGTACTGTACTCACACACCAAGCAGGAGCTCCCAAGGCCAGGAGGGGCCAGGCTCTTTTCCTTGTCCCCAGTTCACAGACATTGGGCCACCCACAACAGGGATGAACCAAAACCCCATGGAGCTAGAGTGTGTGTAACACCTCCTGATGTTCACACTCTCAGCCTGGGGCGAGGAGGAGGCCTGGAAGACCCACAGTTAAGCTGAGGCAGTGGTCTCCCAACAGACAGAATCAATCTCCACTTGCACTTCACACTCTCACCTCTCACGACCAAGACTCTGAATCCAGCGAGGCTCACGGCAGGCACAAGAAGTCCAAAGAGGAGCAGAGGGTCTAGTAGGGCCTCTGAGCTGGGGGAGGGGAGAGGCCGATGGAAGAGAAGAGAGGAGGGCTTGGTAACCAGCCCCCAGCCCCCAGAGCATGGGAGTGGAGCTGTGATACTTGGCCCAGGAGCCCCAACTGTAAATATTTAGCATTTCCCACGTGAGAACTGAGGCATAATTGCCAGACCTCCCTGCCTAGACTACCAGAGCCTGATAACACAGGTCAGTGCCCTGAACATCCCTCCACTTCCTCCCAGCAGAGCACAGAGTGTGGGAGGCTGCAGGCCCTGGGTGGACAGGCAGGACCCTGGCTGATACCCCACATAGAACACCAGCGGGCTCCTGCTGTGTGCTAGGCCTGGCTCTAAACCCTGCCCACCTTTTATCTCATTTAACCGGTGCAACCTGAGCTGGTTTCGATGTGTAGCCTCATTTTACAGCAGGGAAAACAGGCTCAGAAAGGGTGAGCAACTTGCCTTCAGTCACACAGCCAGGAAAGGACCACGATGGGATTGAGCCCAGGTCCAAACTCACACATGTATACACCGGTGTGTGCGTAACAAGAGACACAAAGACACACACACACACACACACACACACACTCCAGTACGTGGAGTGGAGCATACAAACCACTGCTCAGAGCAGCCAAGATAGATGGCATTGGTATGTGGACATGTAATGTCCACAGATTTTCCTGACACACACATAATTCAGGTAACAACTGTAGGTTCAAAATATGGTCACACATACACACAGCACAATTTAAAGCGAAAAACACCTTAGACGCTGAATGTGTCTGTACCTGTGTGTCAGACATGCACACACTCAGGGACACGAAGTGACACCGTGGCCAGCAAAGACACACCCAATGCCCTTCTGGCACACCGCGGATGTGTCCATCTGTCTCCCACACACCCGGTCATGTTTTCACACAAGTCAAATCACACAGGGACAGATCGGAGGGAGATAACCATGCAGCCATTTGTCAGAGGTACAAAGAGACTCACGTAGAGCCCCTTGCAGCCTGGGCCCAGGGTCCCCACCGCCGCGCAGACACACCCTGGGGAAGCAGTCTCCTGCCCCCGGTTTGCAGCGTCCCGGAGTCCCGAGTAACCCGAGTGGACTCCAGGGCTGCAAGAGGAAATGTTCATCCCAGATCTGGGAGAGGCTGCCAGGCTGGGCTCTGGGCCTGGGCTGGAGCCCCCCCACCAATGGGCCCCTCGGCCCCCTCCGGCTTCCCCATTGGCAGCAAAGAGGGAAGAAACCTCATAAGTCATAGAGAGAGGCTGACAGAAGGGAGGGAGTTAGACGGAAAAAGGGGAGACATGGGGGGAGATGGCCAGAGACACGGGGAGATGAGGAGAGACATGAGGAGGTGGGGAGAGACACGGGGAGATGGGGAGAGACACAAGGAGATACATGGAGAGATGGGGACAGACATGGGGAAACGGGGAGAGACACGGGGAGATGGGGAGAGAGCTGAGGCTGAGAAGAGAGAAGGGGATGCGGACAGACACTGAGCAGAAAGATGACAACTTCCGATGGAAGAGAAGACTCATGACAGACAAGGCTGGAAGAGAAGGACGCAGGGACGGGAAGAGGGGACGGGGAGGGGAGACGGCTGGGGGAGGGGAGGGCGCGGGGG